TATTCATAAGGTTCCTTCTAGTTCTAAACCGGTTCAGAATACTTTGAGCTAATATCCCTCTGAATTTGGAGAAAAGTCTCATGTCAGATGCTATAATCATTCACATCAGAAATATACTTTTACGGAGCAAAAGTTTTTAAGAACAGATACTTCATCACAATGAAACCGTCTTCCGTGTACATTAGCAAAAGGAACGCACTCACACAAAGCCCTAAAGGAAATATGCCTGGAGAGGAGATGAAGCCTCAATAAAATAAGGGAATAACAGAGTCAGACCAGAGGCACAGAGAAAGGATACAAGAGGAATGCCACCCTGATTTTTTAAACAGTGATATTAACTATTTTGTTACAGTTCATTTTTTTTCAGATTACATTACACTATCTTCAAACACTTTTTGGCAGGTGTCTGGCTTACAGTTTTGAATATCATTTCAAGTTTCTACAGTACTGATGCAGAAATCTAAGAGCAGACTGGAACCACCTGTGTGCCCATACCTCTGAGAGCAACACCACATTTCCAGTGCTCGTCCCATTTTGTCACCTATTCCATGTAACAGCTATTTTCAGTAATTAAACATTCACACAAATACAAACTTTAAAAGAACTGACAAGATGTTTCTGAGGATCACATCCACATATGCAGAGTGTAACAAGAAAACCTCCACAATAAATTGTATAATCACTCTTGTCTTCTCACTTTAAGTAACATGATGGAGGAACTACATCACAGGAAAAAAAGTTGAATTTTAATTTTAGCTCTATCAACAATGTTTATACTAAAGGCAAGGATATATTATAGGTAAAGACATATTTGTTCCAGTATAAATCCATACACGTTGGGCCATGCATTCAAAATAAAAGCAAGACATGAAAGCAAAGACGTGAAACAGTCAAATTGCTAAATTCCAGAACAACTGAAAAAAAAAACCCTGGCCAAATTCTGCTCTCAGCTCCATGGCCATTAACCAGCAGTAATTTCACCTACGGGATTTACTTGTATCTACCACTGCAGAATTTTGCCCAGTTCATTCAGTAATGTGCCTCATAGTAGGAATCTTGTATGGAAAAAAAAAACCAACCCCAAAAATGAACACAGTGAGAGATAACCGCTAGACAAAAAAAAGAACCTAAATGGGCTATTGGAGAAAAATGACTAAACCAAAGGCAAATTATTCACACAAGTAAGGATATGCACGGTCAGGCCTGTGCTAATTGAGCACAACAAACATATTGTCACTCATTAGAGATCTATCTGCCTGAAATTATCTTTGCTTCCTCTTCAGTTCTTATGAGTTTTCAACCACTTCCCATCATGCAGGAAAGGAAATATTGCCCTATGAAGACAGTGCTATAATTAGATATCCCCGTATTTCATTTCCCATGTATGACTGAATGAGGATGGATGGGAGAAATATGACCAGTGATAATAGTAATAATATGGTGAAACATTCAGTAAGAAAGATATTGGGCATAAAACAAAGTCTTAATTCTTCCTCAGCACATCAAGCTGTGTTTACTGCAAGGTCAGTTAAGTTACTATAAGAGATTTTTAATGAAAACAATTATAAATTTACAATAACTGTGTTTAAAGCATTTAACAGCCACTAAGGTCAAGTGATTACAGCAGTTACAAGACCCAAGGGACATGTTCACACCAAAACAAAAGTGAATAAATTACCTCACCCAGTGTATGTAATCACTAAGTGACCACAGAGGTTATTCAGTGTATGAGCCCAGATGATTTTCATGCAAAACCAATAAGGAAAACTTATCAGCCAAAGGGAAAAAGCATAAGTAGTAAAAGTTGCAGAAGGGCTGAGAGCTAGGAAGAGTGGGAAAGAGGGCATGGAAAGCATGTTCTGTATTACCTCAGCCAGTGTATGTAATCACTAAGTGACCAGAGGTTATTCAGTGTATGAGCCCAGATGATTTTCACGCAAAACCAATAACGAAAACTTATCAGCCAAAGGGAAAAAGCATAAGAAGTAGTAAAAGTTGCAGAAGGGCTGAGAGCTAGGAAGAGTGGGAAAGAGGGCATGGAAAGCATGTTCTGTGATTCGGCTGCAGGGATGAGAAAGAAGGCTAAATGTTAATGAAATGGATGGACAAGATGCTGAACATTCGAGATTGGTGAGATACCCAAAGAGTTGCAAAGGGATGCAAGACCCACAAAACATAAAATTGCAGGGTCGACAGAAGCACTTTCACACCCAGTGAAGCACAAGACAGGCCGACGTTCAGAATAATCATCTTTTAGCTTTTCCCTTGGCTTTACTGCCAAGGAAATTACGGACAGTTGTGTTTCAGTCATCCTGTTGTACAACCCTAGTGGAGATGATGTTTTGCCACAGAGTAGGTAAAATAGGCTGTAGAACAGAGCCTAGCTTTGATATCACGTCTCTCCCTCAAGGTATAAACGACACAAATTCCTTGCCTTCATTACTGCCTTATAACCATGATTGCCAGTGCACCATGCACGCAAGATACAAAAACCCCTTCCTGTAAGGACAACGTTGTATTTGATGGGAGTTCTCACTGCACTGCTTTGGAATAAGCTTCCTACCAACTATGATGGAAAAAGATGCCTCCCACTATACGGCAGAAGAAAAAGGAATCCCGCTTGTTCCTGCCTGCCACTGGGATGTACTTTTTAAACTATTACACATCATCACCTCACAACCTGGAAGGTATTAATCTTCACAATGCACACAGTAAGTACTAAAATGCAATTACTCCCATTTTGCACATAGGAGCCTGAAATAAAGCAGCAAAGGGGCATGCCTGACTTCAGAGTGTTTTGATTTCAGATGAGGAGAGGACAGCACCAGAGCAAGTATTCACCAACGTGACAAGATTCCACAGGGGAATCAATTTGCTGCCTCGCCTTACGCCAGAAATCTAATAAGTGGTATTGTCATATGTCTCAAAATACAAGCTGACTCTGTGCATTAAAAAAAAAAAAAGTTTTCTCTGTACCTGATATATGAAAGCCTGAGGCCAAAGCCAGCAGGTCCTCAATGACACTAATTGCCAAAGAATACAAAACCCGATTTCTCAGATAAATACTATACTGACTTCTACAAGAACTAAATATATGTTAAGGAAGCCCCATGGTAAAATATTGAGGCTGGAACAAAACCTAGTCAAAGGGTTATAATTCTTCTGTTGCAAACGTTAAACCAAGGATCTATGTGATGAAATATCATCATAAAACACCTGTTAAATACAAGGAATGCCAGGTACCTACTAATACTGTAAGATTCCCCATGAAAGGGTGAAAACACACTAGCAGTTTACTTGTTCTGGCTTTCAGCAGTACTGAGTTAGCTTTTGCCAGTGCCAAGCCCTGGGCATGGGCTCTGGCTGTATCAAAACAACACTTGTGAAATGACCCAAAGCCCAAAGAGGAACTTTGGTAGCCAGACACTGCTCTTAGCAGTGCAATCGGGGTAGACTTTGGAGGTTTGTGCTCTCCAGAAGGCAATTCCTTTTCTGGAGCTGCCTGGCATCTGTAGCGAGTGAATGTCGTTGAACAGCAGTGCTGCCCAGCTTCTCTACACGGACCAAAGCTCGGTGGGACCACAGCACCCACTCGCAGCGAAGCTGTGCAGCCTCCCACTGCCCTTACCTTGCTTGCTTCTCTGCAACTCTAACATTTACAGGTTATCACAAAGAACACTCAAAAGCTGAGGAAGATGATTCCTCTGTGTCTCTTCCCCCAACCTATGTACATATCCACCTACTTCTCCTACCACTTATTTCCCAGTCCTGCAATTACATTCCTAGAAAAAGGATAGGTTTGAGCCCATAAAATCTAGTGCCGCTTTCTAGAAATAAGAATGATAAAACTAAATTGTAGTAATATGGTAGTATCTTGAAGTCCCAATCCCCCATGCACAGCAATAAAAAGGAAAAAAAAGTTCTTTAAAATTGGGCTATGGAAATTAGAGGAGGTCAGAAGGAAGATAAGAGTATGGAGAAAATGCAAAGGAGGGTGAAAAAACAGAATGTGGAAGTGCTTCTATTTAAAAATTCCTTTTGTAAACCCAAATGTTCTTTACTTATCTCTTGAAGGGTCAGCCAAGGAACTCCAGTGGAATAAAATGCTGCTATTAAAGGCATGTAGAGACGTGGCCGTCATACAGCAGGGAAGGGAGAGTGCAGTGTTGGAGGTAAAGCTGTGCTTTCAAAGGTTTTTACATGATGCTGTAAATTAATTCTAATGCTTCTTGAAGATCAGCTGCTTGAGTTACCTTCACCTCTGACTGTTTCTAATGCAAGAGGTGGCATGGCAGCACACAGCCAGCCTACCGGTGGCACTGGTAACAGAAGCATCCTGCACAAGTTCCCCTCCTTCATTTTGGTGTTCTGCTGTTGCTATTTAATTGCAGTCATCTGTAGCAATACACTATCGAGGCACTGCTATCAACTGCAGCAGCATACGAAAGGCATTCTACCAAAGATGCATTCTTCTCTGTTCAAATTTAAAATGCCAGCACTCTAACTCAAGGGGCAATCATGTGAATATCACCCCCAAAAATTCTCCTCTTCCAAACATTATCCTATATTGTGGGAAGAAGGACTTTCATGGTTTCCAAATATGTTGTAACTTTCAGCACTGCTTTCAATTATGGTAAACCCAAAACACAGCGAGCAAATAGTTTTGGCTGTAGACGTGAAACCCCACAGCATCAACTAATGGGATGCTGCATGCATTCATATGGGGTGCCACCTCCTCCCCCAGAGCACACAGAAGGACACATGGTCCTTGCTGTGGAATGACAATATTTTCACCCAAGATAATGCAGAAATACAGCAAAGTCTCTAAATTTGTCTCTATTAACAGAATCATACTGAGGCTAGAAACAGCACATCACATGAGGACAAGTGAAGCAAGGGTAGGGGGGGATTTTCAAGTGCTCTAATTCAATTAGGAGGCAGTGACTGACACTTGGACAGGAGAGGTTAATTGAGGTCACCAAAACGCAGTAATTCCTTACCTAACCAGTCATTAAACTTCTTAACCTCTGAGGGCAGTCCCAGTTCGGTGAAATCGCCCGTGTGGAGAAGGATGTCCCCATAAGGCATCTGGATGCCATCTGTTCTGGAGTGTGTGTCTGAGACGCAGACAAATCGCGTGTGGCCCGCTGGTTTTGGAGTGTCATATGGGATAGGGTCGACCCTAAAGCAGACACACAAAGACCTCATAACAGTTACAAGGTTAAAACCCTCACATCTATTATTTCAGGTATCAACACAGATCTCTCTCTACATAAGCATGCACACACACACACATCCACTGACACACACCGCGCTGGAAGCGGTAACTCTGAAATGCAACACTGCTTCTGAAATACTTACCTGGTAAGGAAGGAAGATTAAAAAATACACAAGATACGGCCAGTTTCTGCTACTAAAGTTAATTTAAACAGTGTAAAAAAATGGATTTGAGGGACTTTGAATTCAGATCTATTTTTTCCCATCATCTGCCTCATACACGAGCAAGTGCACGGGCCAGTAAGGAACAGGTCTCGCAGGCGGGCCAGCAGCGGGCTCTCACTTGTGCTGGGCACCTAACACCTGATTTTGTTCAAGCATGAAGGCGCTCCTACAGATTCCAGCAGGATTTGTTTACACACAATCAGGTACATTCACAAGTGCTTTAATAAAGCCTGGAAATTGCAGAGCTGACCCTAATGACAACTTCTTACCCTCACACAAAGTCTGAGCTCATCTTACCAAAAATCTATAAAGTCAGGAACTGATGTGGTAGAGCAGTAAGCAACCCTAGATAAAACATTTTCTCTATAGCCAATAATGTTACAAATGCAGTTCCATTGGTTATTCATAAGATACATTTGTTAGTTTGATCTTATCAACTATATGTGACCCAGCATAGAAGTTTAGCTTTGAGGTGTTTTAGTTTTTTGGTTTTAAAATTTAAGCAGAACAGAGAAAAATAATAGGGAAGAGAAGTGCTTTAGATGCATACTTAGCGGTTAGACGTTCTAATTTGTAACAGAATAATTCAAAATACAAAAGGCAACCCATTGCATACTTTGAAATAGCAATTATTTCTCTGTTACCAGAATTTGATTTGCTTAATTTAATTCAACATTTGAAGAGCACAGCACCTGGATTAACACCACAGATAACACCATTCCAGCTCCACAAAAATTTGACCCATTCCATTGATGTGCCACTTTGATCATGGTTAGAACTTAGCTTCAGCTAGAAATTTTGAGGTATGTAGGAGTTCTGTCAGAATAATAGTCCACTCAGTTTTCAAATCATCAGAGCAGTGAAACTGAGCTCTAAGTATTTTAAAGCACCCAAAATAATGCTGTTGTAAGACTTACGGGGACAAACTGGCACAACAGACATTCAAAAACCAGTATTTGAAAGAAAAAAGGAAATTAAACAGTTTTTTTTTTAAATTTTGCTCTCCACACTGAATGAAAAGAAAAACAAGTAACTAGCATACAACACTCTAAATGTTTTTCTTAAATCCCCATAGCTGTAATGAGATGTATGACCAGTAATAGAAAATAAATCACAAATCACAAGAAAACATAGAATTTTGAAGTATTCCTTTATATACCGTACTCTATTTACTATTTTTAGTAAACTAAATTAGTATTTGGTATTTACTATACACTGAACTATGTGAAAATTTCCATTGTCTTTAACTTCAGCTCTGTACATAGGTAAGACAGATAAAAAGCATCCCCCAGGGAGCAGTTCAGCTCCCTGCACCAGGGAGTTTACAGTGATTCGAGAAATCAACCTTCGTATGAATACGTACTGGTCTCCAATGGAAAGTTGGCCACATGAACACACTTATTAAGAACATTTTACAGAATCTTTTAAATTTGGTAGAATGCTTACTAACAGCTAAAATCTTAGCAGGGGAGGAAGACATTATTTGTTAGACTGCATTTTCCTAGGTACCATAATTAAGTATTTCCAATCAAACTGTATTTACCATAAATGTGCCACATTTGGTTGCCACGGTCCACTTAATTAATTTGCAAAATTCAAGCTCTATGAGATCAGGTTTATTTTAATTTGGTCTTTACTTTACAAACAGATTTTACTGCAGGCTGGACTAGATGGGAAGGGGCAGTATGGTAGATAACTTTTTTGGGTTTTGGTATTGCACCTCCTGTTCCACCCAAAGCACCAGGTACAATTATTTGAGCCATGCAACTGGTTACCACTACAGAAACCCACTGCAAAAATCTCAACTCCAGCAATCAATGGATTGTTCTTTCTGCAAGGGTTAATAAGAAGGTTATTATTACAGAGGAAAATTAATCTACTCATTGAAATCACACTGGCAAGCTGGGCAGAACTATAATTATGGGCCATAGCGTTTCTGTGTTTTCCTCCGAATTACTGAAGGTTAAACCCAAACTTTTTTAATAGTACGTCACACAGTAAGCATAAGGGTCTCCAAATCAACATTTCCACACTTCCAAGTATGTTTACTCCAGACAACACTTTCATCAGTACCACATACCCTGTTCAGATCGCCTCTGCTTGAGCTCTGACCAGCACTACATGCCTCTGGGAAGTCCAATTTTGTTCATACACAGCAGCTACGCTTTTGCTGTTCTCTGCAGTTTGTTTCCAAACAAACCCTGCTTTGCTTTAGGCAATCCCTATTAGACTATGACACCAAAATCTGGTTTAGGATTTTTCTATTCATGCAATGACTTAATTACAGAAAATTCTATAATCAAAATTCATTAAGTTCCTGACCCTTCTTTCTCCTCTTTACAAACACTATGATGTTGCCAAGTAACCTTTTTTCTACATCTTAGCTTAATTTTTTCTCTTATTCGCTAGCGCTTGCCTACTAAGTATTTGAAAGTGAGACACTGAAAGGTTATTGTGTTCAGCCCATCAATTTATCTTAGTCCTTCAATAGAAACTTAATAAAAGTGGTGTTATTACAGTCCAAAAGGCTCAAGTTTTCTTTTCATCCACAGATACAGTATGGCAAACAGTAATGCAAGATTTTTCTTTTGCACTACACCATGAGAGCATCAGCCTCTGAACTCGTCAGATCAGCTCCAGCAGTAGGTGAGGCACTAAATTTTCACGGCTTTTGGTGACACGGAGCTCGCCAGCAGGCTTCTACCTGGGCTGTGAACGTTGTCCCTTCTTCCGATAGTCTGCTCACCTCACGACCCAAAATCTGGAGATTACAGACTGGCATTGCTGAAAGCTCTGCAATAGTTATGCATCTGACCCTCACTGCAATTCAACAAGAGAGAAAATAATTATCTCAGCCCTGCCCACCACCCGTCTGCTGAGCACATGCCCAAGAAATTCAACATATTCTTTACCATTTGCTCCAAACACAGTGCATCCGGATAACTTTGACACTCACCACCAATAACTTATTTTTTCAGCATTCTTGAGCTGGCACACTGAAACACTTTACAGATTATTTGATCACTGCCTTTGGGAAAGCACGTTCATGGAAAGATGCAGTACACGCTATTCCAAAATAATTTAAAATGTTCACATGCTAGGATTAATACAGCAATCAGGAAATGGAAAACAACATGAAAAAAATGCCAAATATCAAAACGAATTAGCTTTTTTTTTTTTTTTTTGAGTTAGTAAATTATTTTGGGCATTTAATTTCCTTTACAGACAGCTGTTAATAGGTACTCATCTATCCTGAGACATCTTGCACCTTAGAAAACCAGGCACTTACGTGTTTTTTCAGAAGACTCTGTAAGACCCAGAATGAAATCCTGCAAGGCAGCTGAGCAATGACTGCTTTCTACAATCACGACAGGAATGTAAGATCTGTCACATTTAATGTGTTTATGACAAGGATTTAGAAATCAGAAGGGACAATGTAATCTTCATACACTTCTGTAAGGACCTGGTTTGTCAGATAATTACTTGGCTTTACTAAACTGCCCTTACCACCAATTGTTTCCATTTAGAGGAAGGTACAAACCTCAAATTTACACCTCCCCACACATGGCTGCAGTAACCCAGACTCCAACTTGGCTTGCTCAGCTATCACTAATCGGTATCTTCCTCCAAACCCACGGTTACCATGACACTTCCAAGACAGCGGGGCCATCTAAGGAAGCGAGTTGAGAGTGTGTCCCTCGCCCAACGCCTGTGCATGTGGCAGTCAGCAGTGGCTGGGCTGCTGGCACCCGGTGCTGTCCCAGGGACTGCACAGACTTGGAGTTGTAAGCTGTCCTCATCCATCAAATTTTGACACAGCTTTATGCTTTAAAAGCAGAGTTTAAATAATTAAACAACAACCAGCAATGCAGAAGTTATCAAAGCGATGCTGACAGCAAGGTAAGGAGGGATGAATTCAGAAACTCGCAGAGAAAGAAAACATTGGGGCTTTCACCTGCATGGAGGCAAAGGACTTGATTTAGGATGTCACGCTATGGAACAGACATGTTCGCTGTGTATTTCAGCCCAAGCTTACGCTGGTTGCTCATAACGATGGCTTATAAATCAGCAGCGTTAGAAAGCACCTCTGAGACAGAAAGGGCAGCACAGCCCTCCAAGAGCCATAGCTGCAGGCGGAATTACACTAGGACCCTGTTTCAAAGAAAATTTAGAAAAGACATGAGCACCATTTTTCTGTAAAAAAAATAAAAGTTTTGATTCCAAAGGATAATTCTACATGGGTGAGCTCGAATGCTGAAAATACAGGGCTCTGGCTGGGTTAGCCCGTCCCTAGGAATGCCTGTGCTGCGAGAGCTGGAATCCACAGCCTCTCACTTCCCTGCTCTCTCGGGTTTTGAGATATGCAGACCCCAAATACCCTCTTACAGAACAATTCCCAAGAAACCAATAAAAATCTTAAACATTAAGCCAACAAGAATTTCCAGTTCCTAACGTCGAATAAATCACTCAGATGAATGCAGCACCTACGCTGAGCAAAACATTTACAGATGCTGAAAATCCCTCCCCCTCCCCAAAACCCACAACTCAAACCAGTGCTATTACTGCTTACAGTCCACTCCTTTTTAAGCTGGTTGGCTTTGCTACAGGTGAACAAGTCAGCAGTCAGCACAGAAAACCACACAACTTTACTCTTTACCAGGCTCACCAGATGCGTGACTAGTCCCATGGCATACAGGCCCATGTCCTTCCCAGACTTCATCACACTGGATGCTGTCTTTA